TAGGACTGGAGATTTTATGCCACATAAGACTCTTCAAACCCCTCAGATTCCAGGACTCAGACCAGAGATTATTAAGATCTAAACAAACAAAAATATATTTTTTTCTGTAACAGATAGGAAACCTGGACCCCTTCACTATGTGTAGGTGAGCAACTTAGGTGACACATATACACCATCCACAACTCTGACAGTTCCTCAAATACCCTAGCCCCTTTTCAGACTTGTGGCACACTTTGCCTCAGGTAGCTGATAAGATTTTAACTTTACTTTGACATGAGGCTTAGTCCCAATGTCATGATAGTTCAGTCAGGTAATTCTGAAAACACTACCTGCTTTTTTTGTAAGATCTCCCATCTCCTGAATCTGCATAGAAGACAAGGTCTGTGACATCCTAAACTCTGGTATACCTTTGGTTGGTTACACTTTAGGGTCACTTTTGCTAAATACGCCTCCCAATTCTTGCAGAGTTTCATTAGGTTAACACAGTATATTTGGAGGAAATTTTCTGTTACCGGGCTGGTATTCCTGATTATTGATATCACTGACAATCCCTCTGATCTCATCGGGGAGAGCGGGGGTTATTATATAGGTCAGGATACAGAGGCAGGCTGGAGATCAGTAGTCTGAAGAATCAGTAGTATGAATGATCCATTCATTAATTCGTAGTCCCTTTCACAAATCACTATGATTCCTCCCATTCCTCTGTTGTTATAGGAAGGGGAGGGATTTTCAATGTAAACAGTATCATGTGACCAAGGTGAGTAGTTATTACAGCGATCACAAAGTACCGAACCACTCAGGTTGGCTTGTACACTGTCTCTGTGTACCGAGCTGTCCAAGGATGGCTCAGTACAAGGAGATTAGTGGGTGCAGTGGACACCCAATGGCTATTTCTGGAATTACACTTTAAATTGTCACTACAAAAATAGATGTGCACCTTCCCTCCATTTTTTACAGTAAGGTGGTAGGGAGGTGGTTAAACATACACATATTTTAATAAGCAATAAAAGAGCTTCAAAACAAGCCATCCCTGACCTTTCCAGTTTCATGTGATATGAAGATATTAATTCTCAAACATCCTCAAAGATCATAAAAAGACTCTAAAGTTGAGTCTAAGTCATTTTCCAACAACTTAGAAATTCACACTGGCTGGTTACATTAGAAAGCTGGCAGGCTCAAACTTTGAAAATCAAAGTCATCACAATGTTTATTGATAAATGAGGGATTGTTTTAAAGTACATTTTACTATTTGTTCTGATTATATAAATAGTTTAGTGTCCATGATTTGGGAACAGGTAAACTTTAAGTACTAAATGTGGAGTTCTCAGGGAAACTGTGGATAAAAAAATGTATAGAATAAGTTACATGTGGAATCTATGAGGGTTATTCACAAAGCTGCCGAAGGCAGCCGCGTGAATAACCGACCCGAAGTGAAGTGAGCCAAACGCTGTAGGCTGATTTCAGGCTTGTACGTCGGATTTCAGCCGTACACGGACTGAAATCAGCCCTACAATCGGCTTGGCTGTTCTGCTCGGTACCTCTGTGGTACCGAGCAGAATAGAAAACCAGTTTAAAGTAGAAAAAAATAGAAAACGATTGGGCGGAGCTAGCAGTGACAGCTAGCTCTGCCCAACTGTTTTCTATTGGCCGGGACCAGCTGTCATTACAATGAGAGCTTAGCGGGGCCGGCGGTGATATCAAAGCCGGCTCCACTAACCTCTCATTGTAATGACACATCAGCGTCCCCTGGTCACTAGGTAACCAGGGGACGCTGAACTGTCATTATACACTGAGAACTCGGCGGAGCCGCCATGATATCTCAGCGGAACCAACATGATATCACGGTGGCTCTGACGAGTTCTCATTGTAATGACAGATCAGCGTCCCCTGGTTACCTGGTTTAGCTTTAGCTTAAGTTTAGCTTTGAATGAAATTCGTAAGGATCCAGAATTTTGTTCAATGAACAGATTGATTCATTGGCCTTTGGACACATTCGATTTTGGAAATTCTGATGCATCCGAATGTCAGAATTTAACGAAATTCATACGAATATCCATTTGGAATGAAGCAAAATTTACATGGCTAGTGGAGACATAAAAGTGGATAAGTGCATATAACATATAAATAACATACAATTATAAGAAATTAAAATGATCACCATCTCTACTACAGGAATTAATTGCGTTTGGACTAAGTAATATTTTATGTGGGTCATTTAAAGGATTTGCTGCAAGTACATCTTTATCAAGATCATCTGTACAAGAAAGCACTGGAGGCAAAACTCAGGTACCAAGAGAGAAACCATATGATTATTTTCTTCTCACTTACCAGGGTGGCTGTTCATGTTAGAAGACTGTGTGTGTGTGTGTGTGTGTGTGTGTGTGTATACTGTAACAAGGACACTCCATTGTAGTCCAGGTAAGTCAAGTAAAATGCAGTTTATTGAAAGGGCAAACACAAAATAGCTTGCAGCAGCATAAGACAGTCCTTGTTATGGCTCTGTAGCTTTCCTCAGCTTCAAGACACTCACGCTGCTCACCCCTCGTGAGCCCTCACTCTGCTCTCTTAGCAGTCTGTACCGCAGGTCCTAGGGTCACCGACCTTCCTGACCTCTCCCCTCATGGGCACTTGCTCTGCTCTCCCAGCAGTCTGTACCGCAGGTCCTAGGGTCACCGACCTTCCTGACCTCTCCCAGCCACCCCTGGCTGTTCCGTGTGCGTCTAGCATGCACCCGAGGTGGTCTGTGTCCGTGTGCTCCCTGCACACACACAACTCCAACACTCCCTTGAGCACTCGGCTGGCTTCCTGATAAGGCTGCTCTCAGCCACCTGATTAGCCCAGGCTGGTCATTGGCAACACCTGGCCCCAGGACTGGAGATCTCATCCCACCCAGAGCTCTACGAAATCTCCAGAGCTCCAGATCCCAGCTGCAAATAGGAAAACCTGGAATAACCTGAAAAGCCAGGTTCTTCCTTATAACCTGCTTTACTTTCTGGACCCTCTCAGCCCCTTTGGCTGAGAGTCCTGGGTACCAAGGTCGCCATCCTCCACCGTGGCATTGGCTTACACTGCCACAATACATACTACTTAACTTCAGCACTCATTGAATTAATAATAGGGAGCAGCTAGTAGACTATGAAACCCCCTCCAAAGTTGTGGGTGAGATATGTTAGTCAGCAAGTGAACATTTTGTCACTGATATTGGTGTGTTGGAAACAGAAAAAATGGGCAAGCATAAGGATTTAAGCGACTTTGACAAGGGCCAAATTGTGATGGCTAGACTACTGGGTCAGCTCCCTGACCCAGTCGTGGCCCAAGGAAGTGGCCCAAGGAAGGAAAACCAGTGAGCCGGCGACAGGGTCATGGGCGAGCACGGCTCATTGATGCACATGGGGAGTAAAGGCTGGACCATGTAGTCTGATCCAATAGAAGAACTACTCTAGCTCAAATTTCTGAAAAAAAGTTAATGCTGGGTGTAGAATGTGCTCTGATTTGGGGGTGCCTTAAATTACTGATGAACAACTGAATCTTAAATAAGTGTTGGGTTTATTTACAAATAGGGATATACATGCATTCTAAATACAATTAAGGGGATTTGAAAGGGGAATTCGGGATAGGAATTGAGGTTAAGGATCCTACAGCTAGCTACACCATTCTCTCACTCATTCACACATGCCATGGGTTTTTCTCTGTTCTCCGGACACGCCTCTCCAGCAGGTCTCAGCGAATCACATTCTTGATTGCAGAGTTCAGAAAGACTTGTCTTATCCAAAGGTCTTACTTGTCAGCTAGGTTAGTGTCACTCAGGAAGAAGGTTCCATCATATGCCCCTGCCCCCATCCCAGCATATATGCCTTGCTGACACAGGTGTGGGCAGTAAATACCAGCAGGGGGTCGGGCTTGCCCCAGGACATGACAGTCCAGCAGATCTCCTTTGATCAGTGTCCAGCCCCAAGAACCCTTTGATGGTCTTCATTCGCATATCAAACAGCCACGGGCAGCTCACGATATTAAGGAACCTTTCCATCAAAGATGTAGCATAGATGTCAATTATTTTAGCTTCCAACATTGGGTCCCTACAATGAGCACATGAGCATCAGAAATGGACCACAGAGAAATGGAAGGTGGCCTGGTCTGGTGAATCACATTTTCTTTTACATCATGTGGATGGCCGTGTGCATGTGTGTCACTCACCTAGTTAAGAATACACTAAAGCTAGTAAAAGACTGCTACTGAAAAACTGTAACTTTGAATGAGTGTTACAAAATACTTTTGTTTTTCTTTACTATTAACATTCCACAGGTTGCTGGCATCATTTCTGGTATACTTGTGTTAATAGTAACACTGGCTGTCGGATACCTCCTAGAACCTCTACCAAAGGTAATTATTGGTGCATTTATATGGTTTAAGTGTGCTTCAAAGTACGTATAAATAATAAAGTCTAAAGTAAACAACATTCCTATTCAGAAACATTACGATTATAAAGTAAATATACATGTGCACTGCCAAAAAATTTGTTTAGTTTCGTTTCGTTTTAAATTCGGATTTGTGTTATTTCGTTTTTCGGGGTTCGAATGTGAAAGTCAATTCGGATTTGGAATTCGGATTCGGACGAAATTCGTTAGCGGTAGTTCATTCGAACGTTCGTTTCGTTTTCGTTTCTTATTCGTTCCGTTCATTCGTTCGTTCGTTTGCAGCAAAGTGACATTTGAGGGGGAAAATGTTTTTCTTCAACGAACGAAACGAATAAGAAACGAAAACGAACGTTCGAACGAACTTCCGCTACCGAATTTCGGAAAATGGAAATTCGGATTCGTTTGCATTCGTTATATCTGTAATTCGGATACATCCGAATGTCCGAATTTCCGAAAATTCGTCCGAATTTCGATTCAGAACTAAACAAATCGCACATGTCTAAAAGTAAACACTATTCCTGATTTTGTTTTATGACAAATGTGAAGATTAACAAACAACTGATGTTAGATGATGAAATAACTTTTTCTATTGAGATGATTGGAATATATTCATAAAATATTATCTGTGACTATAAAAATAAAACAAATGTTGCCTTGCATGCTTTGAAATTTGACCCATGGCAAAACTAGTAAATATTCAGACGGAGTTGTATGTGGAATAATGCACTCCCATGCTACTATGAGGATATTAGATTTCTCCTTTCATGTATGTGTTTCTTCTGGCTTCTCACATTTTTCTCACACACTCCATAAACATGTGATGGCTTAAATAGCTTCTGTATAAAATGGGCTCCAAAGTGTGGAATATGAGGAATGTGACTGTGCGGGGCTTCTAATGTACCTCTGTACCATTTAGGAGGTTGGGCTACCTTCTGTCAAGATGGAAGCTCTCACAGATTACAGTTAGGGCCACACTACACAGCAGGGACGTGCGGTCAGGGGAGGCAGGTGAGGCAGAGCCTCACCTAGTATTATGGAGGAAAAAGCTATCAGCTTAAAGTCTGAAGCTGACAGCTTTTTCTACATTCAGAGCCTCCACGCTGTCATGGATGGAGCGCTGCCTGTTACTTACAGGCAGCACTGCAACCGGCTTTTGACAACTAACTTAGGTTACACAGGAGCAGGCTTCCCCACTGCTTGTGTAACCTAACATAGTGAGGCAACAGCTGCAACAGCCTCTACTCTATGTTACAGGCTTGAGCTCTGTGGATGGTTTGGACCAATGGCAAAGCGCCATTGGTCCAAGCTGTCCAATCAAAATAAGGAAAGAAAACCCATTGAGGACATCGATCTCGATGCCTCACCAGTGATGAGCAAGTGAGGGACAGGGAGGCTCCTCCCTGTCTGCTCCCTTCCCTCCTTCCTCCACACATAGCTTGGTGACTGGGTTGGGGCGGGACTTCAGCAGGCTGGGGCGGGGCATTGACAGGCTGGGGGGGGGGCATGCTGGGGGCAGGGTTGGGGAATACCTCACCCAGCACAGAGGGTACCACATGTCACTGCTACACAGAGGAGCCTTGACAAGGCAGTGTGGCTTCCACATATTTTGCAAAAGTTGTGGAACTATAACCTGTGATTTTAGCACTAAGAGTTAGACAGCGTAATTTTATTTGTTTATTTATTTATTTTTTGCAGGCTAGCAGTGTGCTGGGAAATTTTTGCTTTTGTACTGTGTAAAGCCCTTCCATGTGCACCTTACTTCAAGCTAGTTATGAATTGATGAGAGTGTTTGCCATTTGTTTCACTTGTCATATGACATTGATCCTTCTTGGGGTTGTTAGGGGTAATGCATCAACTGTCTTTTTAAATTCTGCCCTCAATATCATTACAATATAAAACTGAATATTAATATTTAGATAACTATTTACAACAGTGCTCTTTGTTTTTAGTCAGTTTTGGCAGGAATTATCCTGGTAAATTTAAAAGGGATGCTGATGAAATTCAATGAACTTCCTGTGTTGTTTAAGAGAGACAAATATGACTGTGTAAGTAGATCATGTTTTTTATTATCATTTTATATTTATTTTTATTTTTTTAATTGTAATAACATTTAATTGTTTATGCTTGTGATCTAAATATCAGGTTTGCCATTTTTAATTTTTACAGATCTGTGAATAAAAGCTCCTACAGGACTGATAAAATGAAGTAGATATAGCTTACCATACATATAATTATATATAGAAAAATGCACACTACTTGTTCTGGTATTCTGGTATTCCACTACTCTGTACTTCTTCACATTGGGTTATACAGCTGGTAGTTGGTTTGTGGATCTTACGCTGCACTTTTCTCTATTCTAATCACTCAACAATCTGAATAAGGCCCAATTCACACCGGTGTTAAAAACGCATAGTTGGTGTGAAGTTTTACCGCTTCCTGGCCACCTGCTGCAATAGTAGTACTGTGCCCGTACAGTAAAAAAAATGCAGCATGTCGCTTTTGACGGGCGATACCACATGTCAAACGTGACCATTAGAATGAATGGATATATGGTTGTGGCGAGGTATTTCAATTGAAAATCCCACTAGGATTAAACAAAAAAAAACATGCATTTACGAGGCAGCAGTATCACCTCCTGAACATCAGACAGCCACTGCTCCACTGCCCTCTGAAAAGTGATCCACTGCGGATTGCTGTTCAGAAGGTGGTAGAGACTGCTGCCCATCTGAAGGAGGCCTAAGTGTTTTTGCCTCCCCTGTATGTGCTCCAATGCAGTGTGAAGAATGTTCACTTAAAGGAGAACTATGAGGTGAGTGATTTCCACTCAACCTCATAGTTAGAGCCAAGCTGTGACAAAGAAGCTGTCATAGGTCGGCTCTATTGATTGGGTCGTGAGCAGAAACATGCAGCTGATCCGCTCACTTCCCGATCATCTCCCTGCAAAGAGTGGTGACTGTCAGGGCTCCCAGCAGGGATTCCCCCCTCTCCTCTCCGATCCACCAGCGCTCAGTCAAGGAAAGGACGGGGAGGGGGTGGGCACAGGTGGCTCTGCCTCTAGATAGACAGAGCCAGCTGTCACTCAAGCAGCTAGGTGGATCTCGATAGTATTGTCGGGATCCGTCCCGGCTGCGGCGCTCTCAGTATATAGCGGGCAATATAGGTAAGTATATGTCCTCCCGTGACCCTAAAGAGAACTATGGGGAAAAACACTTACCCCATAGTTCTTTTTTAAGTAAGACTAAGCTCATTTCCACAGCTCAGCACAACAAAATGCTCAAGACAATAAATCCCGTTCATTTCAGATTACAGCATTTTTTGGTCCCATAGACTTCAATGGGACTTTATCACAAGGGACCAATCAGTTTTGCTGCAGGGCCCTTGTGCTAACAAGGGACATGCTGACAGAAAGAGAGAGCAGAGCGACAGAGAGAAATGAGCTGCTTCTCCTTAATTGCCAATTTACAGGCTGGCTGGGGGCAGGCAAAAGACCTGCTTGTAATACTTAACTAGAGTTGAAAAAAGTCCGACATCCAGGTTGGCTGTGGTATCTGGCAGAGCTGTATAAATCTCAGGAAAGAATAAATAGAAATGCAATTTCTTTGTCTGGCAAAACAGTTCTCATATACAGTATGTATTTAATTTGTGCATTTAGCTGTTTTCCTAGCGTCAACTTTCATAGAAAGTAGACTGTGAAGAGGCTTGTTATAAATAAGTATATAATGCATTATAAATTTACAAAAAATAATGTTATACCACCAAACCAGTTTGTAATAGTGGTTAAAATTCCTGCATCAAATTCAGGCAAACAGCAGATAATTGTCTTAATTGTCTCCTTTCTCATTCAAACAAATTACACATTTCTCCTCCTTATATTGATGTGCTTGTTATGATCACCATAGATTTAAATGTGTGTGTTTTCCTAACAGCTTGTGTGGATATTAACATTCCTAGCATCTATCATTCTTGGTCTGGATCTTGGGCTTGCTGTCGGTGTGGGAATTGAACTTCTAACTGTGGTGTTCCGTGTGCAATTGTAAGTGAGCTTGTCAGGTTTTTTAACACTACATAATTGAAAACGTCTTTATATGTCTTGCAAAAAACAACCACAGTTTGCATCATTAATGTATAAAGTAAATGCTGCCAGATTGTGCAGAAAGTTTATTTTCAAATAGGAAGTTATCTTTGTTGGTTATGTGTTTAGATGAAGCACTGAGATCTTGAGGAATGCTCAATTAATATTTACTTATAAGAACTGTGCATATATGTATATAGAAATGCAGGATCAACAGGAAGCATATAGATCATGGAGAAGAAAACATATACAGATAAAACTTCCTGTGTATCACAGACAAGTGTGCACATAGACAAATAGCATACAGACTAGCTTTGTACCACAGCACCATCTAGTGTTTAAAAGACAATACTACATTGACATAAGCTGTTGCATTTCCAACAATCTTACGCTACCAAAAAACACTGCGTAACTACTGTAGTCTCTAAATCAGTATTTCTCAACCTTTTTTCAATCATGACACGCCTTAAAAAGTATGCAAAAGCACTCAATTTTTAATATCATGGATTTTAGGGGGGTACCCCAAGCAAACACACACACACAAGTAGGGTTCCCGCTTCACATCAAAGTCCCCCCTTCAAATCAAGAACTCTTCTTCACATCAAAGCTTTACTTTAAATCAGGAACCCCCTTCACATCAGAGCCCTCATTTCACATCAGAATCTCCCCTTTCACATTAGAGCCCCCCATTTACATCAGTAGCCGCCCTTCACATCAGAGCCTCCTCCTTCTACATGAGAAGCCTTCACTTCAACTTTCACATCAAAGTTCTACCATCACAAAATTGGCACCCCTGAACGCCAAAAGGCACCCCAAGCTGGTCTAAATTAACAGATTATTATGATATTCTTCCTTCCTTTTTGCTTATATCAATTGCAAATGAGAAAGGTGTATGTTTTGTTTGGTTTTCCAATGGAATCCTGTGTCTATACATATGGAGTGCTCTTAGGAGGACAAATCGCGGATGTGGCTGCCTTCCACAGACATCTATGCACACACTTTATACACACTCTATAGCAGCACACAAAAACTGAGATATTGAAATTGATCTACATTTATTTCTAAATTCTCTGTTAATGCTTGTCATAAGATATCGACAATGTCGTGACCAATTTCTCAACAACAATGGCAGCCTGAGAATATCTTACATACTAAAACCTTTTTTTTCTGCAGCCCCAAGTTTACAGTAATAGCCAATATTGAAAAAACTGACATCTACAAAAATAAGAAAGACTTTTATGACGTAAGTCTTAGCAAAATTATAACTCAATGTTGTGTGTTTATATGTACAAAATCTAGCTTGTGAAATAAAGCAGTTCAAGGTACATTGGTAATATACAATGTGCAGAATCCATGGCAGCCAATAAGAATCAGTTTGGTAAAATGAAATCATTGAGGGATACATTTTGTTTGTATGTTATAGATTATTCTAATTGTCACACTGTATTTGCACTTTTTTTTTATTGAAGAATAAATTAACCTTTAGTTTAAATCAGTAAAATACTTTTCAGGTGCTCCAAAAAATGTACAAAATCTAGCTTGTGGAATAAAGCAGTTCAAGGTACATTGGTAATATACAATGTGCAGAATCCATGGCAGCCAATAAGAATCAGTTTGGTAAAATGAAATCATTGAGGGATACATTTTGTTTGTATGTTATAGATTATTCTAATTGTTACACTGTATTTGCACTTTTTTTATTGAAGAATAAATTAACCTTTAGTTTTAATCGGTAAAATACTTTTCAGGTGCTCCAAAACAAAAAGTGTGCTAAGTCTTACAGTTTGTTTATTTGCTTTAAAAAGCAGCCACATCCTAAGTAGAAAAGCCGGTCTTCTGCCATCATTCTGTAGAGATGGACTCATGCTCTTTGCGTGGAAGCAGTTTGCTGGGTCAGAGCTAGAACTCTCATTCAACAAGGCTCATTCTTCCTGCTGATTGGAGAGCTCTAGCTCAGACTTAGCAGGGAGTATATTGGACCTCTACAGAGAGACTACTGCTTCCACACAAAAAACAAGGATCCAACTCTGCAGCATGCTGGCAGCGGACAGGCTTTTCTACTCAGGCTGTCAATTGTTTTGATACCACTGGAATGCATTTAGCTCATTTAAAAGTTCAGTTGGGTTTTAAAGTTAAGTGAGTTTCATTATATGTTTCTTTTGTGCCAGATTTGTGAGCCTAAAGGAGTTAAGATTTTCAGATGCCCAGCTCCTGTTTTCTTTGCCAATAGTGAATTCTTCAAAGAGAAACTCATTGCCGCAGTACGTTTTTCATTTGGTTTTATTTTATTTTATTACTAATATAGTGCCTATACTATTTACACTAACGTTCCTTTTTGTGCTCAGGCTGGCTTTAATCCACTGTGGGTACTTCGTAAGCGAAATAAGGCACTGAGAAAAATCAGGAAGCTGGTAAAGAAGGGAGAACTACAAGTCAACCCAGTAAGTAGAAATTTAAATATAATACATATCCATGTGCAATAGATGACAAGGTAAATACAGGACCTCACAATGTTATGTACATACTGTACATTGACACTGCTAGTGAAAGGCACTTGGCGTTGGTTTAATCACTCTGAAGCTGGGTACACACGGAATGAATTTCAGCTCATTTAACAGGAACCATCCAAAATTCGATCCCCTTGACAGAAGTCAATCATTAGATCAACTTTTGCAAAAGGAACATATTGGAAAATCCTTGGCTACACGGTGCTTGCAGCCAATCAGCTCGGGTATTCTGACAGTGGCAAAATACACAGCAGGAAATTTGTCCATCCATGCTGTTTAGCATGGATGAAGGAATCTGTCATATTTTTTACATTCAGCCCACAGGTTAAAAACGAAAAAAAATTAACCCTGTAGACCCTACATTAGAGATTCCATTGGCAAGGTTTTTTCTGTAATCGTTTGTGGATCTGTCTTGTCCCACAAGTCAATAACAAAGGTCTTACTTTATTTCATTTGGATTCCTGGATTATTTTTCATCCTGTCTTCTAATTTCACTGAATGAGTCTGAAAGTGCCCTCTCCAATTTACAGAGAGGAAAATCTAGATCATAGAGACCAGCCCCGAGCAGCTGATTGGAGTCTTAACACTATGCTTGGGCAAAATGCAAAAAATATATTTACTACATCTCTGGAATGCATATACATTTCCCCATGTTTTTTTTCTCTTTAAAAGCATGACATGTACAATAAAATACCCATGGATCTTCTTGTAATTAGGGTACAATCTTGTTGCACTGGAATCCCATGCAGTATTGTCTGCCTTTTCTGAGTTCACCCCTGCTGGACTACAGAACTCCTCCTATTCCTACTCATCCCTATCCCTGTCCATACTCTTACATTGATTTTTTTCCCACAAGACAATGCTGTAGCCTTGACTCACAGAGCCTGTCCAAACACTGTGTATATGGAAAAGACTTTTGGCTGCTGTAATTCTAGGAAATTTGTCTACATAAATAGAACTGACCTAGTATGTTAAGAGTTTACTGGATTTCTGGCAAGGGTAACAGGTATTCGTCTGTACTGGCAGAGTTTTTTTAAAGAAACAAAACTTGGGGGAATCTGCATGTATTGCAGAAATTTACTGAATATTTTTTTTTAATATAATTTTGGCTAGACATACATTTTAAAGGAGTACATACATCTAAAAAAGAGAGTTAATACCAACATTTTAAGTTGCCCACTCCATGGAACTCATGTTCATGAGAAATGAACCCTGAAGTCTGTTGGGAAACTGATACTTCACAGGAGCATTGATCTCCTGCGCCGCCAGCAGCTCTCACCGGTTTCTCCAGCTGACCTCCATGTCAATACTGTCTCTTGTAATTTTGTGGAGGTCAACAGCAGGGCCAGTGCTAGGATTCGTGCCTACACAGGCAAGGTGCATTTTTGCGCCCACCGACCCCCTGTAAAAACAGGGCATTTTGACAAGTACTTGTACTTGTCAAAATGCCCCGATGTTTGTGCTATGTTTTTTTTCACTTACCTTCGGTGCGGGAGAGCAGCGGCGAATCAGCGCTGGTCTGGTGGGAGGAGCTCCAGGTGGGGTCCTAATTTAGCTGCCTGAGGTGCAGCGCGTGTCGGGATCCTCAGGCAGTTGCCGGCCAGCTAAATTAGGACCCCACCTGGAGCTCCTCCCACTGGACCAGCGCTGACTCTCCCGCACCGAAGGTAAGTGAAAAAAAAAACATAGCGCAAACATCGGGGCATTTTGACAAGTACAAGTACTTGTCAAAATGCCCTGTTTTTTCCGCCCTCACCCTGCAGCGCCGTAGGGCGGCCGTCTGACTTGCCTTGCGGTAGCGCCGGGCCTGGTCAACAGGGAGAACAAGTGAGAGCTTCAGTTTTCAAGATGATCCCTTATGTTTCCAAAAGGCTAAAATAAAAACTGATATCCATTTATTATATTGCCATTTGCTAAAACTCTCCACTGTTATGATAAAGTCACTGTAAGAAGAAGAACTCTTTGAACCCATAAGAAGTAACCACAGGGGAGCATGCTGCACTAGCTAAGAACCTGTGGTCTAGACTGTCTCAGAGATTTGGAACCTGTGTACTGTAGAGTTCTGAAGGTGCTGTACACTATAGGTGGACTGTAGTCATTTTATGATAGTGTAGCGCTCACCCCCGAAGGAGCCGCTTGATGATCGGGTCTTCTGTATCACCTCGGTGACACACCACAAACAATGAATCCACAGCACACCAGCACACCTTGTGAGATTTTAAATAACTATTTACTGTATATAATAATCTGAATAGCAGTATACAACATCAACATTTATCTCTACACAGCATAACACAGAGACTGTATATGAGACATCAGCATAACAGTGATGATCAGTAAATGCGGTTATTCTAACTGTGAACTTGTTGGACAGTAATCAAACTGTATATATAAACTTAGTCCCAATGTACCCGGGTACCTAACCCACTGGCCAGTGGTAGTTTCTTCAGCTAGCCAACGCAATACAAACGGTGAAAATCTGTGTGTACTGTTAATGACAACAGGCCGGAGGCCGCTCACCCATACACGGAGGGAGATGTCCGTCTGTAGCCGGCAGGGATGTCAGCAATTATCTTCTGTGATGAAGAACTGTATATAGGAGCTGAAGTCTGATGTCATCAGGGGTTCTGGTCATCAGATTTGGCGTCCATCCGGGCCGAGTCGCCACCCACAATGGCCTCTCAGCAGGATGGCACCTCACTCACAGCCCCAGAGGATCCTCTTCCAGACAGGAACAAACAGCGATTTACTCTGTGCAGCAGATGTCACTTCAGGACTGCACGTGTGACAAGTGAGCACAGTCTCTCCACAAGCTGGCTGCACAACACAAGCAACAGCAGTCTGGCCTCCCTGTCTCCTCACACCAGACTCAGGCCAGCAACCTTTAGCCCCCCGAGTTTACTGCCCTTCTCCCCTGTAGCACTCTGGGAACTGTAGTTTAAGTTTCCATTTTCATTTGTAATTGCTCAGTGGCTGTGTCCACAATCCCCACAAAGCTGTGCTCTCTGGCTCCACCTGCAGCTGCAATATCTTTTCTCTTAAAGGAGCTGATCCCATAACAGGGCTACATTAGAAATAATATTTTCCATAAAATGTTTTACAGAGAGGTGTGGTCTGCACATCTTATGATTATAAAGAGTCTGATGATGAAGAGGAAATTGACAATAACAGGATTGAAGAGCTGGACAAACCAGCAAACACAGATGATCTGCCTATTGTCATCGACTGGAATTCAGATCTACCAAATCACATAAAGGTTCCCAGGATTGATGTACATAGTTTGATTCTTGATTTTGGAGCAGTATCATTCATTGATATGTCTGGAATGAAAGCACTGAAAGGGGTAAGTACTCCATAAGTGTTTGTTTGTTTTTTGTTTGTTACAACTGGCATGCTGGCAGAAATTCATTATTTTGGTATTTGAAATTAACTATACCTAGCTTTTATTTTAACAAAAAAAAAGTTATATAGTTTGTTATCAGTTTATACAATTTTTCTTAAATAAATCTTTACCATTAAATTCAAACCTGTCAATACATTGATAAGATAAACATTTAAGAGGCAACCATTGAGTTATGTAGCACCTAAATATCAAATATACACAGTATATTGTAATCATAAAGAACCATATATATATATATATA